CAGGGGCATGTTGATAGCTCACACAGTGGATATAATTAGTGAGTAAACTCAAATAAGGATTAATGAGTCTCCATGATCATGTAAGGTTTGTTTACTTCTTCATAATCGGCGACAAAACACGGACATCGGACATCATTTTTGTCACTGATACGTAAAATTTGGAAATGTCCTCCACATGTCTATCATAAAAAAAACCTTTTGAAGACTTTATTAAGGCCTTAAATGGTGTAACCTTGATCAAACAAGACACTTGCAGTGACCTGTGCACAAGTTATCAATGACATGCGCATATAAATACTGAGGACGTCTAACAACTTCATTGCAAAATGACAAATGCATTTGTGAATGTCGAGTTTATTCCCAATATCGCAGTTTATCATGGTATTCGGTAGGGGATGGAGGTATACATTTCCTTGAGTCAATCGTTTACTTACGTCTCCTCTCATCTACATCGCCAACCCACACCAATATACCCCGAAAGAATAATCAGGTTTAGATTGGTTGACATTTAAATAATATATATAGTAGTAATGATATATTCAGTAAAGAAGTTATTCAGTAGCATATATTTAGTTCGGCATTGACAGAGTTAAATAGTATTTTCACATGATTTAACACTAAATGCTATATCAAGTTACATCGAGGTTATGCAAGAGTTCAATGCATATTGAAACGGGCTGTCCCAAGCACGGGGTACGATGACACGATGTGTTATCTACCAAGTCACCAAGCCCTGACGACGCGTTCTTTTATGTCGCCTGTTTCGACAAACATAGGTTGCTGGGGATCAATTCTAGCCCGGAATCCCCACGGGTTTCGAAGCCAGTAAACGTTTCAAATGCGTCGATAAAGCTACCGTGTCGCAGCGTCTTAGTATGATAGGTTTGTATATCCTGAGAGAATTGAGCGCTGAAGGATAAGATGGTCATTGTACCTGTGATTAGATATCCAAAACTTAACTGCATTTGTATGTAGAGGGCGGTCGGGTAGCCTAGTGGTTAAAGTGTTCGCTCGTCACGCCGAAGACCCGGGTGCGATTCCCAACATGGGTACAATGTGTGACGCCCATTTCTGTCACGCCGAAGACCCGGGTTCGATTCCCAACATAGGTACAATGTGTGAAACCCATTTCTGGTGTCACCCGCCGTGATATTGCTGGAATATTGCTAAATGCGGCGTAAAACCATACTCACCCTCTCACTTGTATGTAGAACTCCCGGTAACCGTTGTGCCAAGTAGGACCTAAAAGTTGATCGCTGAAATTATCATTGTGCTTACGATTAAATGTCACTGCATTTGTGTCCGGCAACCGTGCCAAACAGGAATAGTACCGCCGCTGTCAATGCTGATGGTGGTCATACCTGATACTGACTTGTGAACTGACAAATGCCCCATGCCCCATTCAGTCTGAGATGACGTTGAGAGAGGACATGTGTGGACACTGTCATGATGACTTCATGTTTCATGGACATCAATATGTTGTCCTCTTGCTATTTCGATCTGTGTTTGCGCTTATCTTGTGTGACATGAAACAATGAACAAATAAACAACTGAGTGAGTTGGGTTACACGCCGCTTTGAAGAGTATTCCAATTACAACACGGCGTATCCAATTAATGTGGCAGAAAGCCCGAAGTGAATGTAGGCTTCAGACGTTTACCACTTGTGCCAAACCCAAGAGAATTGGTAAGGTGCTGACAACATAATCTGGGCGACCCGGGATTCGAAGCCACAATCATAGGTTTCTGGCGAGCCCAAGGGACGCAACTCTGCCACCCGTGCCCCCGTATTATCCCAAAGTATTCGGCGTTCATTATAGTATCCATAATGTTATAATGGAAACCTATTACCTTGTTACATCCATGTTTGCTTCTTGTTCAACATGTTCAACCCTGCTCGATGACCTGTCCCGAGTATGGACTAGACAATCCAGTGATTGATGTGATGTCATATATAACCCAATTAGCGTTTGTGCGCAATCAAACTTTATGATGTAAAGTGAATCCTTGTTAATCAGGATGTTACCTTCCCGGTGAAATCGTCCGGACTAACACATTTCCGGGTTAATAAATCTGGGGTATGTAGTAATGAATAACACTCCAAGCAATTATCATCCAAAAACCACAGTTTCCGAATATACGGGTTCCTGATTGACGGGGTTAAACTGTATACCAATCAAGCATTTAAACCCCCCTGCCCCCCCCCCCCCCCCCCCATCCCCTCCCTAAGTAAAGCATGGATATTACGCTGACTAATTAACGGTTATGACTGAGGCAAATCTCGGTTTCGAACCCGCGAGTAGCAGATCATGTTAGTTACGTGACTCCTTCAATGTACTTTTAACAAATGGGCCAACGGTGTTCACTTTGTTCTCCATACATTATTAACGGAAATAATGTGCACATACACGGATATAGTCTACAATAATATTATACCATTACAGTCAATGACAAATACATAAGATACGTAACTATCCTCTTCACATTGCACAACCGATATATTCGCCAATTAGAGCCACATATAAACATAAAAAGAAGTATATGATGTGGTTTGGTCAATCATTTAAGGAAATACCATTTCCAGCATCCTCAATAGTCAAGGGTATGAAATCTCCGTTCCATGTCGTTTCTGAAGTGAGGTCACCGCCATTGCTGATCCTACATCTGACTAAGCACATATTTATTTGATTGGACGGCTGTCTTTTGTTCTCGTCAATTTAGGCAAGTAAATAGTAGGTGAGGTGAGGTAAAGTGGGGTTTATTTGGCGTCAGGTAAACGAATCCAACCTTGCGCTCTCCGCAGACGCTCAATCCACCAAACCACAGAGGCGGAGGTCACGGAATTCCACTCGATACAAACATGCTAAGGACATATTAGGCCACGGTTTCCATCCTGGAGACAAGTATGTGGTACTGTGGACCTATTCTGACATGGAATCACACTGGAGACAAGAATGTGGTGCTGTGGACCTATTCTGCCACGGAATCACACTGGAGACAAGAATGTGGTGCTGTGGACCTATTCTTCCACGGAATCACACTGGATACAAGAATGTGGTGCTGTGGACCTATTCTGCCACGGAATCACACTGGAGACAAGAATGTGGGCATGGTGCTGTGGACATATTTGGCCAGTTTCCATACGAGAGACATGAATGCGGCGCTGGGATCCTATTTTGCCACGGAATCCCTGCGAGGAGACGAGCATGAGGTGGGGACCTATTTTGTCATGCAATCTCTATGCGGAGACAAGCATGCGGTGCTTGGGACCTATTTTGCCCCGGAATCCCTACGCGGAAACGAGCATTAGGTGGGGTCCTATTTTCTCACGCAATCCCTACGAGGTGACAAGCACGCGGTGCTAGGACCTATTATTGAAAGGGAATCCCCATGGGGATATAAGAATGATGTGAGGTCCTATTTTGTAACGGAATCCCTTCGAGGAGACATGCATTCAGTGCTGGGAACATTTTTTCTCACGCAATCACTACGAGGTGACAATCATGCATGCGGTGCTAGGACCTTTTATTGAAAGGGAATCCCCACGAGGATATAAGAATGATGTGAGGTCCTATTTTGTCATTGAAACTCTACAAGGAGACATGCATGCTGTATTGGGAACCTATTTTGCCACAGAATCCGTACACGAAGACAAGCTTGAGGCGGGGTCCTGTTTCGTCATTCAAACTCTATAAGGAGACATGCATGCAGTGCTGGTGATCTATTTTGTCACGGAATCTCTACGAGCAGACATGCATGCTGTGCTGGGAACAAGTTTGTCACGGAATCTCTACGAGGAGACAAGCATGAGGTTGGGTCCTAATTTTCCATGCTATCGCTTCGAGGAGACGAATCTGGGGACATAATCCGCCACGGAATGTTCATATTAGGGTTTTAATACATACCTCAATATCTCTGAATAAACATGATAAACGGGTAACATGTAAAAATGTTGCATAGAAAAAAGATTATATCACTTGATAACAAGGATTTATGGGTCACATAGGGAAATGTAATATAAAATAAGGAAAACGTATTACAAAATACGGAAAATTGATAATAAAATAAGGAAAATTGATAATAAAATAATCAAACTTGATAAGACGCGGAAAACACAGGTCCTACAGAAGGGGAATAATACAAGTCAAATGTCATTGGTTGATTATATGTCGGATAACCTTATTTGGTATAATTTATATTGGCAATAAATAGTTTGTAGTAGTCAGTAAATACACACGACAGGACAGCCAGGAGTGGAGCTGACATCCAGAAGTCATACGTGATTATCATTGTTACTCCTCGGTCGGCAATGTTACTGCTATATCACAGTTGTCTGTAGATCAGTCAGTCTTGGTCTCGCTCCACAAATCGATTTTAGTGACTGACGATTGTAGTTCCCACGCTTTGAATGATACTTGTGGTAGTCATCGCATGCCAATTGCGTGGATCGATGCTCATGATGTCAATAACTGGATTGTCTAGTCCAGACTCGATTATTTACAGACCGCCGTCATATCGCTGGAATATTGCTGAGTGTGGCGTTAAACAACAAACAAACACACAAACAAACTTATGGCAGTTGTAGGTCTAAGCTCGCTTTGTGGGCGTAACCCAGGACAGGTAAGCCATGAAATGTAAGTATGCAATAATTAAGACACTTGCTGAGACCTGTTAACAAGTAATCAATGAGATGCGCATATAAAGCATGGGGACGTCTATCAATTCCATTCCAAAATGGCAAATTCATTTGTAAATGCCGAGTCTGTTCCCAACAATCGTGGTGGTCGCAGCCTTGTCTATCATGCATATTGGATGTATATATACATTTCCTTGCATTGAGTCGATCTTTACGTCTTAAACCGCGGCATCTAATTAGATATATACATGATTAAATAATATAACCAATTTTGTAGTGATTTTTCACTATGATCAAACACTATATGTCAGTAATTCACTGCATTTTCTCCTTCAGGCGTGTTAACATATCTTCTTACATATCTGAATGGCTCAAAACGCAAGAACAAGGAATGTGGAGATGTTAGAAGACTTGAAAATTCGCAGTTTAATGGCCTCTTACATGATGTTCGATAGGTCAACCAAATACGGAAACTATGCATTTCGGACACTGATTTTAGTTGCCATGCTGATGGGTGTGGCTGCTGCTAATATATTTGACTACATCCCCGTGGGTGATGATGAAGATTGGGTTTCCGTCTCTAAGATGGTCATAGGATTGGTCTCTGGATTTTCAGCTACCATTCAAACTGGCAAGATATTTCTTCTTGAATACTTTGAAAAGAAAGAGAAACTCTATAACGAGACAGCAGCAGGTTGGCAAAAACTGGAGTTGGACATTCGTCTATTTCTGAACTATATCGACACAGCCACGGACGAAGATATTAGAGAGTTTACAAGTAAATGTATACAGGAGCGGGATAATGTATGCTCTAAGTCAAAACCAGAGGGAGATATGTATCAACATTATCATGATCACCCCCTTGTAACGATCGAGCAGTATCGGAAGAAGCAGTTAGTCATTAAGCGCATTGGAAAAAGACTTAAGGAAGTTCATAACGAACAACCAAAAGATATTCAGGATGATGTACTGGTCATGGATTGTTGGGCTTGTTTTCCGTATGGTGTGTATTGGCACAATCTGTTTACAGTGATCAGATACTTTATGTCGTCTTTCGAAAACAATCGATGTACGTATCACCGTGTACATGTGGTTTAAGATTGTAAACAAGATGTTGTGGTTTCAAGTCCTGGCTATTGTACACAGGAGCGGAATAACATGTGCTCTAAGTCAAAACAAGAGAAGCAAACTCATGAAAAATACCATGATCACCCCGATCGAACGATGAAGCAGTGCCGGAAAAAGTCTGTCATTGCGTTCATTGGACAATAATAAAATTTTCTTTGTGTTCATTATAATTCCTACATTCTGATTAGCTGAAGTGGTCACGTGATATTGCATTCATTTCCAAATGACCATCGAAGCGGACTACTTTTATTACTACAGAATGTTCGGGAATCCAAATTTACAGACGAGTGAATTCCTTTATTTCTACTCACGTGTATCGTCATGTTCAGGACATTTAATGCTTTTTCATTGTCCAAACTACCCTTTGAGACTGAAGGCCGAGGAGGAATGAAACAGTAACGTGCAAGCTCGCTCGCCTGTTTTTTGTCCGCTAGCTTGAGTTCCATTGAGCTTGAGCACATTTCAAAATGTGTCTGCCAGTTCTCAGGCAACTAATGTTTGAATCTGGCGTGAACTGACCATGTCAAGTTCGTTAAGTCTGACTTTGCAGTCTTTATCGCCTCTTGCCTCAGGTCCTATGAAGTTTGTTTTGATCTTCCTGTCCGTTGATTGGCTACTGACTTTGTAGGCGTGTCAAGTTATGTGCATAAAGTAAACAATCACCTGATTCATGTAAAGCCTCAGTATGTATTCCTACATCTGTAATGCTTATCAATCTCATCATTTTGTCTGCTTTTATATATAAAAACTGTTTTTTGTTAAACTATTGTAGATAAAAGTTGATTTCGTTGTCGAATTTAATTCTAAGCATTATATTACCTGTGGTTTTTTTTGGTTCATTGCAGTATGAATTGAAAAACCGATGTGCAAACTTTCGTAAGATTCTTACAGTTTGCACATCGGTTTTTGGATTCCGATGAACCGAAAAAAAATATACGTCAATCCTTTAAAAGACTTGATTATACTTACCACCGTCAACATTTCATTTAAGAATTCGAATGTAAACAGGATGTTCATTGCTATGGTACATTGATTTAGATTATAACAATCTATTGTTATATATAGTGCTTGAATTCATACTTTTATTATGGAAATGTTCTTCATATATTATTAGAGCTCCAAGCCGAAAGGCTGTAGAGTTCTATTTTAATCGTTCGATTTATTATTATTATTATTATTATTTTTATTATTATTTGTTTTTATTATTATTTATTATTCCGCCAATTGTTGTACCAGACCTAGGAAAACAACCACTGGCTCTATTTTTTCACCTTTTGTATGTGTATGTAGACGATGAGTACTAGTGCCATCCAAAATCCCAAGGTCGTAGGCCCAATGACCAAGGGTAGATAACGGAAAATCAAATACTTTCTGAGGATATCATTCGCCCTATTGCTCTGTTCTACCCAACACACCCGAGATCTATCTGTCCTACCCAACACACACGAGATCTATCTGTCCTACCCAACACACACGAGGTCTATCTGTCCTACCCAACACAAACGAGGTCTATCTGTCCTACCCAACACATACGAGGTCTATCTGTCCTACCCAACACATACGAGATCTATCTGTCCTACCCAACACATACGAGGTCTATCTGTCCTACCCAACACATACGAGGTATATCTGTCCTACCCAACACACCCGAGATCTATCTGTTCTACCCAACACATACGAGATCTATCTGTCCTACCCAACACACCCGTGATCTATCTGTCCTACCCAACACACCCGAGGTCTATCTGTCCTACACAAGACACACAAGATCTATCTATCCTACCCAATACACCCGAGATCTATCTTTCCTACCCAACACACCCGAGGTCTATCTGTCCTACCCAACACACAAGATCTATCTGTCCTACCCAACACACCCGAGATCTATCTGTCCTACCCAACACACCCGAGATCTATCTGTCCTACCCAACACACCCGAGATCTATCTGTCCTACCCAACACACCCGAACACTATCCGTCCTACCCAACACACCAGAGGTCTCTCTGTCCTACCAAACACATACGAGGTCTATCTGTCCTACCCAACACATACGAGGTCTATCTGTCCTACCCAACACACCAAAGGTCTATCTGTCCTACCCAACACATACGAGGTCTATCTGTCCTACCCAACACACACGAGATCTATCTGTCCTACCCAACACATGCGAGGTCTATCTGTCCTTCCCAACACATACGAGGTCTATCTGTCCTACCCAGCACACCCGAGGTCCATCTGTCCTACCCAACACATACGAGGTATATCTGTCCTACCCAACACATACGAGGTCTTTCTGTCCTAACCAACACACACGAGATCTATCTGTCCTACCCAACACACCCGAAATCTATCTGTCCTACCAAAACACACCCGAGGTCAATCTGTCCTACCAAACAAACACAAAATCTATCTGTCCTACCCAACACACCCGAGATCTATCTGTCTTACCCAACACACCCGAGATCTATCTGTCCTACCCAACACACCCGATATCTATCTGTCCTACCCACCACACACGAGATCTATCTGTCCTACCCAACACACCCGAAATCTATCTGTCCTACCAAACACACCCGAGGTCTATCTGTACTACCCAAAACACCCGAGGTCTATCTCTCCTACCCAACACACCCGAGGTCTATCTGTTCTACCCAACACATACGAGGTCTTTCTGTCCTACCCAACACATCCGAGGTCTATCTGCCCTACCCAACACACCGAGGTCTATCTGCCCTACCCAACACACCAGAGGTCTATATGTCCTACCCAACACACCAGAGGTCTATCGGTCACACCCAACACATACGAGGTCTTTCTGTCCTACCCAACACATCCGAGGTCTATCTGCCCTACCCAACACACCAGAGGTCTTTCTGCCCTACCCATCACACCAGGGGTCTATCTGTCCTACCCAACACACCAGATGTCTATCTGTCCTACCCAACACATACGAGGTCTATCTGTCCAACCCAACACATACGAGGTCTTTCTGTCCTACCCAACACACCTGAGGTCTTTCTGTCCTACCCAACACACCAGAGGTCTATCTGTCCTACCAAACACATACGAGGTCTTTCTGTCCTACCCAAAACATACGAGGTCTATCTGTCCTACCCAACACATCCGAGGTCTATCTGTCCCACCCAACACATACGAGGTCTATTGTCCTACCCAACACATACGAGATGTATCTGTCCTACCCAACACATACGAGGTCTATCTATTCTACCCAACACATCCGAGGTCTATCTCCCCTACCCAACACACCCGAGGTCTATCTGTCCTACCCAACACACCAGGGGTCTATCTGTCCTACCCAACACACCAGAGGTCTATCTGTCCTACCCAACACATACGAGGTCTGTGAAGCCCATTTCTGGTGTCCCCCGCCGTGATATTGCTGGAATATTGCTAAAAGCGGCGTAAAACCATACTCAGTCAGTCAGTCAGACATACGAGGTCTATGTGTCCTACCAACACACCCGAGGTCTATCTGTCCTACCCAACACATACGAGGTCTATCTGCCCTACCCAACACATACGAGGTCTATCTGCCCTACCCAACACATACGAGGTCTATCTGCCCTACCCAACACATACGAGGTCTATCTGTCCTACCCAACACATACGAGGTCTATCTGCCCTACCCAACACATACGAGGTCTATCTGCCCTACCCAACACATACGAGGTCTATCTGCCCTACCCAACACATACGAGGTCTATCTGTCCTACCCAACACATACGAGGTCTATCTGTCCTACCCAACACATACGAGGTCTATCTGTCCTACCCAACACATACGAGGTCTATCTGCCCTACCCAACACATACGAGGTCTATCTGCCCTACCCAACACATACGAGGTCTATCTGCCCTACCCAACACACCCGAGGTCTTTCTGTCCTACCCATCAAACCAGGGGTCTATCTGTCCTACCCAACACACCGGAGGTCTATCTGTCCTACCCAACACATACGAGGTCTATCTGTCCCACCCAACACATACGAGGTCTTTCTGTCCTACCGAACACACCAGAGGTCTACCTGTCCTACCCAACACATACGAGGTCTATCTGCCCTACCCAACACATACGAGGTATATCTGTCCTACCCAACACACCAGAGGTCTATCTGTCCCACCCAACACATACGAGATCTATCTGTCCTACCCAACACACCAGAGGTCTATCTGTCCTTCCCAACACATACGAGGTATATCTGTCCTACCCAACACATACGAGGTCTATCTGTCCTACCCAACACATACGAGGTCTTTCTGTCCTACCCAACACACCCGAGGTCTTTCTGTCCTACCGAACACACCAGAGGTCTATCTGCCCTACCCAACACACCAGAGATCTATTTGCCCTACCCAACACACTCGAGATCTATCTGTCCTGCCCAACAAACCAGAGGTCTATCTGTCCTACCCAACACACACAAGATCTATCTCTCCTACCCAACACACCCGAGATTTTTCTGTCCTACCCAACACACCTGAGGTCTATCTGTCCTACCCAACACACCTTAGTTCTAACTGTTCTACCCAACAACGGAGAGAGATATGCTGTCTGGCAAAAACAGAGAAGGACATATACAGAAAGTATAACGATGAATCCGGTCACATTTTGAGGTCATATATAAAAAAGAAATCCGTAGTCGCACAAATTCGAGAAGAACTTGACAGGGAGAAATCCTCTCGAGAAGCACTTTGAGATGACTGATTTATCTTTCCAACCTGACACGTATTCAACTTTCCAATAT